GCAGTGACTCCCGACAACTCGCCCGCTAATTAAAAAATCGTATCTCTGCTCCTAATTAACACTAAGGAATGAAACTAATGCTGTTCGATGGTGAATTAAATTTCCAATCCTTCAACCCCCGTTTCATCCCTTAATTTCTGCAATAAAAAAATTAATATTGCGACGAAAGTCACGGCGCTATAAGAAACCCAATGTTTTCTCGGCGCAGAGTGACTCCCCAATAATTCGCCCGCTAATTAAAAAATCGTCTCTCCCCTCCTAATTAACAATAAGGAATGAAACCAATGCTGTTCGATGGAGAATTAAATTTCCCATCCTTTAACCCCCGTTTCATTCCTTAATCTCCTTAATAAAAAAATAAAAACTGCGACGAAAGTCACGGCGCTATGAAAAACTCAATGGTTTCTCGGCGCAGTGACTCCCGACAACTCGCCCGCTAATTCAAAAATCGTCTCTCCCCTCCTAATTAACATTAAGGAATGAACCCAATGCTGTTCGATGGAGAATTGAATTCCCCATCCTTCGCCCCCCGTTTCATCCCTTAATCTCTGCAATAAGAAAATTAATATTGCGGCGAAAGTCGCGGCGCTATGAAAAACCTAATGGTTTCTCGGCGCAGTGACTCCCGACAACTCGCCCGCTAATTCAAAAATCGTCTCTCCCCTCCTAATTAACATTAAGGAATGAACCCAATGCTGTTCGATGGAGAATTGAATTCCCCATCCTTCGCCCCCCGTTTCATCCCTTAATCTCTGCAATAAGAAAATTAATATTGCGGCGAAAGTCGCGGCGCTATGAAAAACCTAATGGTTTCTCGGCGCAGTGACTCCCGACAACTCGCCCGCTAATTCAAAAATCGTCTCTCCCCTCCTAATTAACATTAAGGAATGAACCCAATGCTGTTCGATGGAGAATTGAATTCCCCATCCTTCGCCCCCCGTTTCATCCCTTAATCTCTGCAATAAGAAAATTAATATTGCGGCGAAAGTCGCGGCGCTATGAAAAACCTAATGGTTTCTCGGCGCAGTGACTCCCGACAACTCGCCCGCTAATTCAAAAATCGTCTCTCCCCTCCTAATTAACATTAAGGAATGAACCCAATGCTGTTCGATGGAGAATTGAATTCCCCATCCTTCGCCCCCCGTTTCATCCCTTAATCTCTGCAATAAGAAAATTAATATTGCGGCGAAAGTCGCGGCGCTATGAAAAACCTAATGGTTTCTCGGCGCAGTGACTCCCGACAACTCGCCCGCTAATTCAAAAATCGTCTCTCCCCTCCTAATTAACATTAAGGAATGAACCCAATGCTGTTCGATGGAGAATTGAATTCCCCATCCTTCGCCCCCCGTTTCATCCCTTAATCTCTGCAATAAGAAAATTAATATTGCGGCGAAAGTCGCGGCGCTATGAAAAACCTAATGGTTTCTCGGCGCAGTGACTCCCGACAACTCGCCCGCTAATTCAAAAATCGTCTCTCCCCTCCTAATTAACATTAAGGAATGAACCCAATGCTGTTCGATGGAGAATTGAATTCCCCATCCTTCGCCCCCCGTTTCATCCCTTAATCTCTGCAATAAGAAAATTAATATTGCGGCGAAAGTCGCGGCGCTATGAAAAACCTAATGGTTTCTCGGCGCAGTGACTCCCGACAACTCGCCCGCTAATTCAAAAATCGTCTCTCCCCTCCTAATTAACATTAAGGAATGAACCCAATGCTGTTCGATGGAGAATTGAATTCCCCATCCTTCGCCCCCCGTTTCATCCCTTAATCTCTGCAATAAGAAAATTAATATTGCGGCGAAAGTCGCGGCGCTATGAAAAACCTAATGGTTTCTCGGCGCAGTGACTCCCGACAACTCGCCCGCTAATTCAAAAATCGTCTCTCCCCTCCTAATTAACATTAAGGAATGAACCCAATGCTGTTCGATGGAGAATTGAATTCCCCATCCTTCGCCCCCCGTTTCATCCCTTAATCTCTGCAATAAGAAAATTAATATTGCGGCGAAAGTCGCGGCGCTATGAAAAACCTAATGGTTTCTCGGCGCAGTGACTCCCGACAACTCGCCCGCTAATTCAAAAATCGTCTCTCCCCTCCTAATTAACATTAAGGAATGAACCCAATGCTGTTCGATGGAGAATTGAATTCCCCATCCTTCGCCCCCCGTTTCATCCCTTAATCTCTGCAATAAGAAAATTAATATTGCGGCGAAAGTCGCGGCGCTATGAAAAACCTAATGGTTTCTCGGCGCAGTGACTCCCGACAACTCGCCCGCTAATTCAAAAATCGTCTCTCCCCTCCTAATTAACATTAAGGAATGAACCCAATGCTGTTCGATGGAGAATTGAATTCCCCATCCTTCGCCCCCCGTTTCATCCCTTAATCTCTGCAATAAGAAAATTAATATTGCGGCGAAAGTCGCGGCGCTATGAAAAACCTAATGGTTTCTCGGCGCAGTGACTCCCGACAACTCGCCCGCTAATTCAAAAATCGTCTCTCCCCTCCTAATTAACATTAAGGAATGAACCCAATGCTGTTCGATGGAGAATTGAATTCCCCATCCTTCGCCCCCCGTTTCATCCCTTAATCTCTGCAATAAGAAAATTAATATTGCGGCGAAAGTCGCGGCGCTATGAAAAACCTAATGGTTTCTCGGCGCAGTGACTCCCGACAACTCGCCCGCTAATTCAAAAATCGTCTCTCCCCTCCTAATTAACATTAAGGAATGAACCCAATGCTGTTCGATGGAGAATTGAATTCCCCATCCTTCGCCCCCCGTTTCATCCCTTAATCTCTGCAATAAGAAAATTAATATTGCGGCGAAAGTCGCGGCGCTATGAAAAACCTAATGGTTTCTCGGCGCAGTGACTCCCGACAACTCGCCCGCTAATTCAAAAATCGTCTCTCCCCTCCTAATTAACATTAAGGAATGAACCCAATGCTGTTCGATGGAGAATTTAATTCTCCATCGAACAGCATTGGTTTCAATCCTTAATATTAATTAGTCGGCGAATAAATCAACTGAAAAACATAAAGTAAACATTGAGTACAAGGAGGACAAAAATATCCCTCCAAACCCGTCCCTATCACAGCGGGACTGCTACTGCCGAGTTACTCACACACCCGACTCACATTTACCGACAATTCGACCGGGACACCGCCTTTCCCGTGGGGTACCAACTAACATTTTTGGAGTCAGTCAAACCCCCCGATCCGGGCCACTACTCAGGTCTATCCTCTTTGCTCGGGGTCGCGGGGTAGTTATAGGTGGTGTTTCGATCGGTTTTCTTGATGGCAAAAGTGGGGGAATGGTACTTGTGTGAGTCTATAGGTGTACATACGTAAATACGCGCGCTAAACATACGATTGAATTAAAATGGCAAATAATTATTTATTTATCGATCTTGGTGATTGGATCCTGAAAATCTTTTAAAACATATAAGCAGTGGGTTCCACAGAAAGTGAAAGTATTTGCTATGAATGTCATCCATGAAAACTGCAAGCTGATTGCCACGTTTCTAGGTTAGTGTCGATTTTCATAATAAATGAACCATTCAATATCTATCAACTAGAAAGAACGCAATCATTCACATAAGAATAATACGGAATTATTTCATTGGTAATATTTTTAGTTGAATGCTGGTGGGCAGGTTTGGAATATCAGTGGAAATTCCTTGCTGATTATTTCTATCAAAAAACGACGCATTATCCCAGGAGCATGACTGAAGGGAAATAATTTGACCGAATTTATAATTGTACATCTAGTTTCCCTGGCATAATGAACTAATTGTATATATTTTATTCAATAATTGATTGTATATATTCTCTCTGAGAATCTATTGTATATATTGGACTTAATTGGAATTAATTGTACATCTTAATTTTTGGACTTCACGATGGAGGACATAACTGATTCCAAATTCTGTTTTGGAGATTTGCTGAAAAATTTGAAAATGGTCAAGAGACCATCTAATTGGGCAGCAGTGAAGCATGACGATTGTGTATTATTCGTCGAAATATTGGAAAATGGAGAACAACGGAAGAAAATAATCATATACAATTCACTTAATGCTGAAATTCTGTACAATAACGATGTTCTCTCGTGGTTGACATGTGATATAATCAAATCTCTCGATCATCTGGCTATAATCATCGAATTGTTAAACAGATTACGATTTTAATCCAATTATTTCGACTGGTGGAATTGTCTAGCTTTTACAACGCAATGTATGGAATAAATAAAGATTTTAAAAATGGAGGAAATGGATATACCCTCGGAATGACACTAATACAATTGTATGGAGTACGTACATGAGCCTGAGCTCCGTAGATGAAGCGCCATTTTTCACAACATGGGAACTATTTCAAGGAACCACGTTTAATCGCATATACTGGAGAATTCTCCAATACAGTTCGGCCTCCTGGTCTCTACTCTTCATGGGTGAAACCGTGACCCCTGGAGGTCTGGAGGGCGCCGTCACTCTCGCTATTTTAGAACTCGCCCAACTGTGTTTAGGGGAAAGTGGCCCGATGTACAGGGGTTCCAAGTGGGCGATTCTAAAGGCTGTGTCGGGGTAGGATAGGGACCAACATAGCCAGGTGAAAGAACTGGTACTTCCGTGATACCGTCGGGTTAATTGGTGGGGATAGGGTAACGGAATGGCCTATCGTCGTCGTGATACCCAGATTAGGAAGCGAGGCCCTAGTGAAATTCCGGGAGAGTCGCATGCGAGCGCTTGAACTGAGAGGTTGGAAAAATCTCTCGGTGTATTGGAGTGGTGAATGGCTGAATAAGGCGTGGTAAGGAGTTTCACTCTACGTAGCCTGGGCATAACTGTGGCGGCGAATATAGGAGGATGCCCCTGCATCCCCCGCGCGTAAATCTGAGTCATCTCGCAACGCGAAGTGATGACTTTGTCGTGTCCGGCGTCATCTCGGGGGTTGGAGTACAGAAATCCTTCTGTCGGCCCGACCATACGCCGACAGTTCAGTACCACCCGGAGGCAGTGAGGCGCGATGACCGAAGCGGTAACTGGTGTTTGAGAGCGTGGGTGGTCGTAGTGTGGGTAAGGTAGTTCCACCCTGGTCAGATCAGCCTCTGAACGTCCCAGGCTCTGAGGAGTCCCGGATGATTCGCAGACACCTCAGAAACTCTCCCGAGTAGTACTCGGGAGGAGGAACGCTTGCCGGGGGAGTCGAAAGACGCTTCGGAGGAAAAATAAAGTAAATTCACTAGAGGAATTATGCCGCAGGGCATAATCCACGGCTTGCAAAGGCCGTGGGGAAGTGGCGGTTATACTCCTGGTGGACCTCGCCCACTCTACCGTATCCCGCTGATGTTAGCTGGGCAATCCATTATCTAGCCGAGAAGTCCCCTGGGTAGACGAGTTAGCCTCAGAGGCCGGTTTTCGTCGAACCTCCCGTGCAGGTTCGGCTGGCGCCCAACATAAGAGCGATAGAAACGGCTAAAAAGTAGTTTGGACTTTTCCTGGGTGAACAACCCGGGAGAATATCCTTACAACATAGATAAGGATCGTTCATTTTACCTCCCGTGGACAGAACCGTATTTTTCGCCTCGGTCTAGGCGCAAAGTTAGACTCAGATTTATCTATATAATCTACTATATTCTCAGAGAAATAGAAATCTCATCGTTTGCATGGTTATTGAGGTATTTACAAACCCATTTTTTTCGATCGCTATCCATCAGGATTCTTTCAACCATAGGGGCTGAAATTCGACACAAATTTGTTTATCAATGATGCCAATTAGGGATTTGCAATCTAATTACTTTCAAGTCCGAAACTATTCGTTACGGGACTTGAAAGTATTCGTTCTTTTGTATTCATTACTTTTTTTCTACCTTATCGACAATCAGAAAAACAATTCAATTATGATAATCAATGGTAAAACAAATCTAAAAAATGTAATCGTCACTGCAGAGATGAAGTGGGATATGTTAGAAACAAATGTGTACATTTTTCATAGAATATCTTCAAAAGCAAGAGGTTTAGAGGAAAATGTTAGAAGACATCTCTTGTTGAGAATGTCCTGCTCAACAAAGAAGCTCTGTTTGGTGAGGAACTAGTTTTAGGGTGGATGTGCGAGAAAATGTGGAGGGAGATGCTGAAAAATTGAATCGTCACTGTTCATAAAAAAATATAACTCAATTTATTGTGGGCTCGAACCACTTCGTTAATTAAATAGATACATTTCTTTGGTAGTATCGGCACTGTTGATAGTGCTACTTTTTGTGGGTTTCGCGATCGCCTCACCGCTCAACCGAAGGTTCCCGATGGTGCTCGAGAATTGTCAGTAGGATCGACCGTTCAACTGTGTAGCGTGGTATTTTTTAGATTTTGACTGTTCGGCGGTTCGCTGAATATTGCAGACGAGATGTCACTTAATTGGCGAGGCGAGAGTCATTTTTAATATTTTTAGACTCTTTTTCAAAATAATTTTTTGTTTGTATGGAATCGTTTCTGACCGCTCACCGGGTTACATCGTGGGATGGAGTCTGGCTCTTTGTGGGATACTCCTGTAACCTATCTTCGGGTCTTGGATGCTGTGGAGCACGAGACATTGGGCCAGTAATTTGTGAATGGCTCCTCAGACGATTGGAGTTCACCTGGAAGACCTAGTGGCGGCGCCAGCTTATGGAGGCTGGAAATGGAGGGCTCAGCTGACGATTCGAGAAACGTTGGAGAATGCTTGGACTAACGTTGGACGTCCAGGGGAAATACCTCCACCATTGGAAATATTATTTTAATATTTATGGAATTTAGTTGAGGACGTTTCAACTCCGATTTGGTTATGGTCCCGCGTTTACAGTGGACATAATTTGACTTATTTTACCATTACGCTCAGCCAATGAGAACCTCGAACGTCTGTTAGAGCGTTATCATGTGAGTTAGGGATAGCGGCAACGGTCACTTCTCGTTTGTACGTCCAGGGAACCGCAATGCTAAATTTTCGGTCTCGTGCTAAGAGATCTTTTGTCATTCGTAATTGTGAAATTTTCGGTTTCCAAGACCTGGAGCCGTTGGGTTTTATTTCTGGAGGACTTGGGAAGGCCTGAGAAATTTCCTGCCGTCGACTGATCATTGGATTTGGTGAGCGGTGGATAATTAAAATTTTTGTTAATCTTGTTCAATAAGGAGCAAATGTAAATTCTGTTACGGAAGCTTGATTTTCCGTGGCGATTGAAGCCCTTTTAGCATTTGTTGAATTTTCGGTACAGTCCTTGCCCTTTGTTCGACAGAGTTTTTGTTTCGAGTCCAATTCGTTGATTAATACTTTGTTCGGTTAATTTTTGGATTTTTTATTAGATTTCTCCAATTAAATTCAGTGATTCTAAGTGAGTTACCGGCAGCTGTTCCTTTTGTTTATCGATTTCGGTCTTGATCATTTGGGTTTTTGGACGTTTTGGACGAAAACGTTCTGGCGCCTAACATTGGTTTCTGAATATTGGTCGCTGAGGGCTGCGTATTCCCTGGGTTCTGCTATTTGGAGATAAATCTCCCTACAGTAGGTCGATACTGGAATCCGGTATTCTACTTGGTAGGAAAAGAGGGGTTGATTTCTTTAAACTAACTCATAATTATCCAGACGGGATAATTATGTAGAAATTACAACGATGTTACAAAATAAGTATTAAGCTTGATTTATTTTGATCATTGAACTCCCGAATATTCGTGAGTCCAGCTTATATAGTAATTAAGTTTGTCACCTTACGACACTGGTAAACAGTGTTGCACATGAACGTTGATTTAGTAAAACAATGAGTGAAGTAAGTTGAACTCAATTCATTGTTCTACTTCTTCACTTCTGTAAATAAATTATTACTTAATATATTGCCATTATTTTGGGGCATAACATAAGCATAGACATATACATCCTAACATTTTCTAAAACCGATTTCAAGTAATTTCCGTCCAAAAGTATAGAATTTAAAAAAATTACTTTTTTCAATACTTCTCCCAGCAAGCAAGAAATGACCAAAGATATCCTTAGGATACCCATTGAAGTTGAGCTCCAAAATTGCAATTGTCGAATATTTTGAGTTTCACTGGGCACATGTGGAATGAGAATTGATAAGGTCTACTAAGCATTCCTGTCCTTTCCATCAAAACAAAATGTTTCAATTGGTAAAAGAAAAAAACTTTTTCATTAATTCATTCAAAAAAAAGTAATAAAAAGTATTTCAAACAAGAATGGTATTCATTCCACAGAAGAAAGTAATAATTTGTAATGTTTTAACATTCTAATTTGCATAAATAAGAACAAGCTAATCTCATAAATCATAACTATATTAGCTCGTAAATAGTTCTGCTAACCGATTTAAAGTTTGTCGGTCACATTCAAGAAGTTTAAGTCTATATTTTGTGAAGGTATTCTCCTAGCGACTAAATCTGTATTAATAGTTTTTTTTTTCTTTGAATCCTTTATTCATTCATGGAACATGGCACTTTTTTGACTTAAAGAGATCCCACCCTTCATTTAGTAGGGGTTCGTGAACCTGGTGGATTTTTTTAATCATTCTCCACTTCGATTGGAAGTAGGGGAGGGTGGGGCAAAACGGCCCCCCTTCAATTGTCAATAACTTGTGAATGACATTGTGAAAATTCCCAGTTTCAACTTCATTTTGAAGATAATTTTTCATTCTTCAAAACGAGCTCTAACTCATCCCAATCGGATTATTGAATCGGAAAATACTGACGATTGAAGGGGGGCCGTTTTGCCCCATCCTCCTCTATATAGTTATGATCGCAAAAAAAACTGAAAATATAGGAGTAGATCTCAATTTGCCAATGATGATGTCGTTTCCCTCGCATATATCCTTACCTTAGCAAATATCAAACAGTAAAACGCTAATTTCACCCAGTTGGCATGTTGGAAATCTGCTTTTTTTTGGAAAATTCAAAAAAATTTCGATGAGAAACTATGTACTCGACATTTGTTTAATTATCTTTATTGAACCCATTCAATTGAATTAAAACTATTCAGATGGGGATCATGCGCACTCTGATTGATTGCCATGGGGGACTTCTCATCGCAACGAAATCTCAGTTTCTAAACATGAATAATGCACAGAACAGGAATAAAAATAATAAAAACTTTGTGATCGGATTGGCGTACACAATTTGATAACGTGACGGGTGACGTATCGTTAAAACCGAGTATCATTAGCAAGGTAAGCATTCTCACTGGTGTTATAGGAGTCTGATAATCAAAAGGAAATCATTTGACTATCTTGAAACA